TTCAATAAAAAAGTTAAAAAAAACCTGACAGAATTAAAGAGAAAAATAACAATAATAGTTGAAGAGTTCAATATCCCACTCTCAATAATGGCTAGAACAATTAGACAGAAAATCAGTAAAGATATATGTAGAAGATTAGAACAACAATATATACCAACTGGAGAACACTCCACCTAACAATAGAGTATTCTTTTCAAGAGCACATGAAACACTCTCTAGAACAGATCATATGCTAGGCTGTAAAACAAGTCCTAATAAATTTAAAAGGATTTAAAAAATACAAAGGATTGTTCCTCAATTGCAGTGTGATAAATAGATTGGAGAGAGAGATAACATATAATCTCCTGGTTCTGCTTCCATGGTTGAACCCTGACTGATACATGTTCTTTTTTTTCTTTTCTTTTCTTTTTTTTTCCGGTAGGGGGAGATAATTAGGTTTATTTATTTATTTATTTATTCTTAGAGGAAATACTGAGGATTGAACCCAGGATTTCCCACATGCTAAGCATGTGGCTCTACCACTTGAGCTATACCCTCCCCCCTGAAACACATGCTTAATACAACACTAAAACCATGATCAATATAAGGAAAAAAATGATAAATTGATTGAGCTTCTTCAAAACTAAACACTCTGGGGCTTCAAGGCACCATTAAGAAAATGGAAAGGCAAGCCACGCACTGGGAGAAAATATTTGCAGATCACTTTTCTGATAAAGGACTTGTATCCAGGATATGTAAGGATACTCTTAAAACTCAATCATAAAAATAAGTAAGTATTTGAATAGAAGATATAGGGGTGACTAATAAGCACACGAAAAAGTGCTCAACAGCATTAGTCATGGGAAATGCAAATTAAAACCAAATGTAATACCACCTCACACCTATTAGAAAGGCTGTAATAAAAAGACAATAACAAGTGTTATCGAGGATGTAAAGAAACTGAAACCCTAATACATTGATGGAAATGTGAAATGGTGCTGTCATTTGGGAAATCAGTTAAGAATTTCTTAAAGAGCTAAACATAAGTTTACCAGCAATAGACAAAAAATGATGTAGAAATTCTACTAGTAGGTATCTACCAAAAAGAAATGAAAATCTTATGTCCACACAAAAACTTGTATGTGTGTGTTGATAGCAGCATTATTTATAAAAGCCCAAAAGAGGGACCAATCCAAATGTCCATGAAATGGTCAGTGTGTAAACAAAGTTTGGTATATGCAAACAATGGTGTACAATTGGCAATAGAAAGGAAGAAGCTACTGATAAATCCTATAACATGTATGAAATTCAAAAGCATTATGCTAAATGAAAGAAAACAGACATAACCGACATAAAAGGCTACATAAAATAAATATAATTCCATTTTATGAAATATTCAGGAAAGGCAAATCTATTGAGGCAGAAAATAGATTAGTGGTTGTCTGAGGGTAGGAATGAGGATTGACTGCAAGTGGGCCTGAAGGGATATTTTGGGGATGATGAAAATGTTCTAAAATTAGATTGTGGTGACAGTTCCACAACTCTAAATTTACTAAAAGTCACTGAATTGTGCAATTAATGTGGGTGAACTTTATGGTACATAAATTAGCACTCAATAAATCTCTTTTTAGAAAAAGTTAAATCTATTTCCGATGTCTTAAAGCACTCTTACCTGTTGTTTTCTTTTGTTTCCTCTTTTCTTCAAGCAAAGATGTACTAATCCTACTCAGTATCTTAACACTGTTCTCAATAGATTTGAATGTTTCTGGTAACATCTCCATTTGTGCTATCCAGTGGTAGTGTTCATCAATATCGATTGCAGTCATCCCAGACAGAATGGCATCTTGAAGAGGGGTAAAAAAAATTATTTTGTGCAGAAAAATAATTATAACCATATAGACTTATAATATTGGCTAACAACTCAATATTGTAGTATTAGGAAATAGAGGTATCTCATACTTATTGTTATTCTGAGGCTTTTCTCCATGAAGAAATGAAAAAAGAAGAGACTTGGAATAGAAGGCTGAATAGTAAGTCTTGGACATGAAAACATGAATCTGGTTAAAAGGTGTCTATTTGGTTTAGTTTCCTGACTTTAGGAAAGTAGATATCTAAAACATGTGTTTTAATATTGGGGATCTAAACACCAGTTAATTCCTTTGGTAGGTTAGCTAGTATTTTATAATCCCTATTACATGAGATTTCTTGTAAATAAATGAAATTTCTCTTTTTTGTGTTCTTAGATTATTCATTCTTTGATTCAACCAGTGTCTCCTCTAAAGATACAGCAAATTCCCTGACTTCATGCTATTTACATTCTAGTGAAAGGAGATAGACAAAAAATAAAAAATAAGAATCATTAATTATATAGTATGTCAGATGGTAAGAAATGTTATAGACAAAAATAAAGAAGACTAAAGAATAATGAACAATGCCAGGGGTAGAGAATGGGGATAGTCAGAGAACATCTCATTTAAAAGTGAGATAAAAGCAGAGAATGAGCCATTTGGCTACGTGGTGGAAAATGTTCCAGGGAAGGGAATAGGAAGCATAAAGACACTAGGAGGAGCATGCTGGCATGCTTGAAGAAAAGCAAGGAGGCCAGAAAAGCTGATACTGAGTGAGCAAGTTTTTATATTCCTTATTTTATTCTTACTGGAACAGAGAACAATGGTTCCTTAGTCTTTTCTTCTTTAGTCTTCTTCTAATCTTTCAAATTTACTTATAAATTTACTTATAATCTTTCAAATTTCTGTTCTCTAGCTTTTCTAATAACTTTAAGCCACTTCTGGAAACTTACGCCATTCTTCCAACCAGGCCAGGAAGTCGGCAAGAGTCTTGTCTTTAATATCAGCAGACTTAATATAAGCAGCTAGTTTCTCCAGCAAACTTGTTCTCCGTTTCTTATGTTCTTCAAGGAATATCTTCCTTCCAGAGTGCACATGCTCATCAACAGTATAGCGATTTAATATCCGCTGCACATTGTGCATTATGTCACTCAGCTCCATATTAAGGCCCTATAAGAATAAGAAGGGGGAAATATATTAAAAAATCCTCAGTGTGTTGTTGTTGTTGTTGTTGGTTTAGTGGAGGTACTGGGAATTGAAGCCAGAACCTTGTGCATGCTAAGCATGCTCTCTGCCACCTAGCTATACCCACCCCAATAAATCCTCAGTTTGACAGTAAGTTTTGATCACCTTTCTTCCCACAGTATCAGTGACAGTCACTACAAATCTGTCTAATCAAAGTTCTGTTAATTCCAGCTTTTCTGTGAGTCTCAGATTTTTCTCTTAAAACTTTTTTCTCTGCCTTCATCTTAGTATTGCTATGATATACTGGAAAAAATACTGGGTTTGAAACCATATCTGGATGACAACTCTAGCTTTCATTAAAATGACTTTTAGTAACTCACTTAAAAATTCTGATCTGCCCTGACTCATCTATAAAATAATGAGATGCTAAGTTCACAGGAGACATGTAAGATATGTGAAAATGCCTTATAGACTGTGGCTGCTATAAACAAATGAATTAATTAGCTAATTAATTAAAGGAAGTTACTTTTTTTCTTTACTTAACCCTTACACCTGGAAAGCAGGTATCAGAATATTCCTCAACATAACTTTTATTTCTTTATCTCCCCTCATCAAGAGTCTATCAGCAAATTTCTTCTGTTCATCACTTTATCCCAGTAGTTCTCAGTGAGGATAATTACTGCCTCATATGCGGCATTTAGAAATTTGTGAAGGCATTTTTGGTTGTAACAATGACTGGGAGGGAGGACTGACTGTATTTAGCAAAGGGTGCTAAGGGATGCCATACCATCCTACAGTGCAGTGGACAGTACACACATTGAAGAACTGGCCCAATCCTGCATAAATTTTGATGATCCCATAGGACATTCACACAGGTTTAAAAAAAAAAACTATAACTATTTGAGCTTAGAAAATTACTGTATTTAAAATATAAACAAAAAGTATCTTTTAACCAAGTTTAATTGTTTATTGAAATTTCCAAGAATGCAAATATTATGTAAATGAGAGGAAAATGTTCTAAAGAATTTCTGCAATCAAATTTCACCGTTCTGAAACACCACAGTACCAACTAGCAATGCACTGTTGCTAATAGTGTATAGTGCCAGTACAATAAACCTGCGTTTGTATCAGCCTATATTTGTAGCTTTCATATTTATTTTAATTCTATATATGGATGCAAGCCTCTATTTCTTTGTTATGATTTCCAGTGAAGTTTGACCTAGAATTTACACATTGAAATGCATGTTATTATAAATTAGTACTTTTATTTACCCTCACATATTAATTTTTTAAAGTATAAGTGTGGATATTTTATCTATGAATTTCATTTCAGAGGAACAAAAAGGATGTTAAAAATATTTTAAAAGGGCACAGTAAATCTGATAGATGAAGAACTACTGCATCTTCCTTTCTAACTTTATCAATTACTCTTTCAATTTGGGTTCAGACAGAACGAACTCCTTACAATAAGAGTGAGATTTGGACTTTGTGAACGAAATCACCATGTCAAAAGAGTGATCAGATGTTAGGTGCTGGGATTACTACAATCAGATATAGGTAATGCAGTTGCAGCAAATTAAGTCAGAAACACAGGAGAGCAGAGACAAAGTTTGATAAGCCAAGTGATGAAGAATAACATTACAAGCTAACACATAGCATGGTGGTTAAGGGAAAAATACCAACTCCTCATACATTCTTCCAGAAATTTGAAGACAAAGGAACATTTCTCAACTCATTCTTTGTGGCCAGAATTACCCTCATACCAAAGCTAGATAAACATACTTCTAAAAAAGAAAATTACATACTAACATCCCTAATAAATATTGTTGCAAAAATCCTCAATGAAATACTAGCAAACAGAATTAAACAGCACATTAATAAGATTATATGTCATGACCAAGTGGTATTTTTTCCAGTGATGCAAAAATTGTTCAATATATGAAAATCAGTGGGCTCTATTTCACTCCCTCCTCTTTGGATACGGCCCACACTCTACCTATGGAGTGTGTACCTACTTTTACTTTAACCTGAGAATCCAACTCCCACACATTTTTCTTTTCTCTTACCTTATACTCTATGCAGT